TCGACTCACCAATACCAGTGAGTATTAACGTGAGATATAAATCGAGATTTCAATAGGTCTGATATGCTTTGTTAGACTGAAGTCTTGAAGTTAACTGTTCACGGTCGATCTACTTTTTAAACGTAGAAAAAGAACCCAGGAGAATCTGTAACCGTAATGTTGACCGCAATCACTAACTGCTTTTAACTCTAAAGTCATGTCGTTAAAGACTAGTCAAAACCAATTGTAGTTAATGACGCTGTTGTGACTAAAACCAAAAGGTGTGCGCGCGATTGGGAAGCCGTTTTAAAACCTCTTGCCCATGTGTCTCATGAGGGCTTTCAAGTTAGATGTTCAGTCACTTAGTAGGCCTGATTTGCTGGTTTTATTTTTTTCATCTCGCAACCCGCCCGTAAGTATAAAATTTATCTCGAATTTCCTGGTTGAAATGAGCACACTCTGCACAGCCTAAGATATTTTTATCCAGTATCCCATATTCCGCATTGTACATCCCGCCAAGCTTATGCTTTGACACTTCAGAATCTTCGAAATACATCTTTCATGCATGACGCATTATGATAATCAGTGTCTCCTTGAAATATCTCAAAATTTTCGTAGTTTCACTTTCCCAAGCAAGTTCCGCCGTGGTAGGTACGGCTCTAGCTAACTTTGCATCGTTTGGTTTCTATCTTAACCAGTTAGAATAATATACAGCTCCATCACGATAGCCACGAAATTCAGACAGTCATAAAGTGATGAAAAATTGCAAGCTCCACCGTTGGCTGGTAAACAACAAAGTTTTTGGATCTGTCAGATCTGATGCCTGTTACCACGGCAAAACGAGAGTTTTAAAATCGACCAAATCGCACAAAGAACATCATAAAGTTAAAACTGACGAAAAGTTAATTCACGGCCTTCCACATTTTACAACAGAACGATGGCAAAAGTATAGCTTTCATTAGTTGTCTTATTTCTCGAACTTCAGAGTAATTCAGTCTGTCTATGACAGGAAGGCTTAGAATGTAACTTTTATCATCTCAGCCGACACAGAATTTAAAAGTAGACTGGAGTGGCTTTTAATTTACCCAAGGCACCTCGAAAGAGTGAACAAAGATGCCAAGATTTATGTTGGAAGGTCCAGGACTGTCATTAATCCTTCGTTTTGCGATCATACACAGTGCGTTAATTGCATAACCGAAATGTTTCTGTTGGTTAATCCGTGAGAAACATAAAACACAATACGTTAACACCTATTGTGTTTTATGCAACCCCTAGCCTGTAACAGATTTCAGAGTCAAAATTCTTCCTTGAATTTTGATATAGGTATGATTGATATTATTTTATTCATTCGGTAACAGAATGTTTTCTATTATAGAAACAGCCGAAAAAATTAAAAAAAAAAAAATAAGTAATTTCATTTAAGTGTCAAGGTGACATACCAGATAAGCTTTTGCATGAAAACATAGTAACTCACACATGAAAACATGTTGTCTTCACAAGTGAAGAGATCACCATCGCTATGGTTGCATGATGAATCGTGCCTTTCACATGCAGCAAGAGTGAAATGGTTTAGTATTTCATTGGTGTTTATAATAGTAAATATCTAACATTACACGGCTGCTTGGAGCTACGAAATTTCTCTTCTTGTGTTGAAAAAATATTTCACAAGTGAGCGCAGCAAACAAGTGAGATTTTTTTCAACACTCAAAGAGAAATTCATATCTCTGCATGGCCATGTGATATCCTCTATATGTACATCCAGTCTGAGCTGTAATTATGATTATCATAGTTATGTTTTTCAAATGATAGCATTACTATTTGGCATCTACTGGAGCTTGCAAGCAAGCATGAGCTACAGTGCATGGTAGCTTGATCTCCCTCTTGCCCATGGCCAAAATCTATTTGAGTTAAGCAAGTTACAGTCTCTGTAAAAGTATAATATTTTCCAAGTGTGAATTTGACTTAAGATTAGTTTTGCTAATCAACCAACTTCTTAATTTGT